TAACACATAAAACATTAGGCCAGGCACAACCATCTGTTATATGCACTTTTCGTCACGTGCCTCCTAGATGGCAGCACAAACAGAAGAGCAGTGACGCCTTTTGAATCTCAAGTAGTGTTGTATTATTATTATCATTATTATTATTATTATTATTATTATTATTATTATTATTATTATTATTATTATTATTATTATTTGAAACCTTCCGGCGTCAGTTACAAGCCGTTTGATAAACGGTGTAAACGAAGAGAACTCTTGCAAGAAATGAGTTATAGGATTGGCATGTGAACCAGTTTTGTAAACGGCTAGAGCTTATAAAATTCGTGAAATTTATGAAAAGTTATAGAGCTATGGAATTGAAGTGTGCGCCGCCGCAATTGAGTCGCACGTACATTCAAAAGGCAGGTCAGCAGTGCCTCCTGCACCGCACGGAAATTGAAAACTCAAAATGATAAATAATGAACAACTTGTGATATCTACGCTTTTAGTCAACTTCCTCAGTTCTTATGACAGTATTATAAAGATTGAGCTGGCAATACTTCTTAATGTCTTTAGAACAAAATACTGTGTACTCCATATCAGAGGTAATAAACGAGTCATCTTTACAAAGTCGGCTTTCGAATCATTATCATCTTTTTAAGTGCTCTCCTAAATATCTAGTAAAGTTGTTGGAAGCATTAAAAAACGAGTCCATCTGATTGCATCGACAGTAAAATTTGTCTAAACCGCAATCGGTGCGGACAAAAATACGGGGTACGAAGGTTTCCGTTTTATGATGGATTGTCCACATTATGACGCTTGTGGTATTAATATGTGCACTATCTATCAAAAACTACATTAAATTTAAAGTGTATTAATGTACCACTGTACATTATTTTTAATGTAATTTGTTATTTTAAAGGATATTAATATATTTTCCAATAAATTAAATGCTTAAATTAAAATCAATGTAGATTTAATGTACGACTGTACATGAAACGTAATGTACCTGGTACATTAGAACTAGATTAATATGTTTGTACAATAAATTGAATGTCTAAATTAAAATTCACGCAGATTTGATATACAATAATCTCTCTTTAATGTGTTCCATATTGTTTAAAAACATTGAAATATTTTATTCCACTATTTTAACTAATGTACAATAAATTTAATTTTTTAAGTTTATATTTAATCTGTACTATAATTAATCATTTTTTACATTAAAGCATTTAGTTTACTATTGTTTTTGAATATTCACTATTCTCAGTTGTGTTTCGTTTTTGCACGTTTTCCTGATTTGGGGTCTCACCTGGATTTGTTTTGGGAGAGGTCTTAGGGAATTCCGAAATTCTCCGGTCCCGTGCAGGCATGACAAACGGTACGGGATTCCCAGCCTGCCTATTTCAAGTACCCAAGTGTTTGAGATGCATTCGTATTCTGAATCTCTTATCGTGTTCTTAAGTTTTTGAGGAATAGTGACATTTCTTAAACTTGTGCAAAATCAAATAAATATCATAACATTCTGATATAAAAGTCTGTGAAACTTATGAATTTTATTCTTCATGTTCTCGTTAGAGCAGTCTCCTCGAGCGGTTGTCATCGAGAGAAGCTGAACTAATTCAGACGTTTTGAATTTGTCAAGATAAAGTTAATAATAATTAGTATTATTTATTTGATATTATTTTCATTATGAACATTTTTTAATATTATTTTCATAAAATGTGAAATTAGATTAACTCCACCTATTTTTGGATATGTGCTGCAGATTGCAAGTGACTGTCTAAATATACGAACGGTACAAACAAATTAAGACAATAAAGTAAAGTTCAGGGAATGAGTGTGGCATAGTAAGTTCAAAGCAAATAACTGTATGCTAAAAGAAAAAGTTATATTTTGCAAAGACCTTATTGAAGGTGTGATAATTGCCAGCTATTATTTTTTAGGATATACCTACTCTGCAAAATCATAAACAACCCTCGGATTCATACGAAGGTATGTTGGAGTTGTATTACAATAACGCAATAAATTATAAATAATGAATCATTAAATAACGTATTACTATCGATAGAACATTTGAGATAAAATTGTTACACTCCATACTTAAAAACGTTTAATAAATAGGCAGTTTGTCTCAGTTTTAAGTAAAAGGAAAATTGCATTAAAGAAATCATCAATAACCGTTCCGTTTTCGCGTTATATAAGTTCCGTTTTAAGTTGTACAAAATGCCATACAGCTTCGCCAGTCTAAGACATTTTCCGGTTAAAACAGATTTCCGACTTGTGCAGGTTCTAGTTTAGACATATTCTACTGTGCTAGTATCTCACTGGGATGCACTTATATTTAAGTGTATCAGTCGATGTGAAATAAAATAAAGGGAGTATATGCAAAACGAAACTGCACACGCCAATAGCGAGACAGCAGAAATGAAAAAGTAAAGTAGTGATAGAAAGGTTACGAACATCTGTTAGCATAAACAAATGAAATGTGAATTGAATTAATGCCTTATTTTACGTGGCGAGACTCGGGCCATTAGGCCCACTCTTCCGTCTGACCACTCAAATTTCGC